AGCCTGGGTGACAGAGTGAGCCTCTGTCTCAATAAAAGACAAAAGGTAGATACCTAACTATTAAAATAACAGATTTACACCTGTGGACCACTTGAAGGCATCTTGAACACCACTATGCGTTATATAGCCACATCCTAGGAAACACCGATTTTAATGAAAGAGACTAAGTCAATTCAGTGACATGTTGCAAGAAGAAAGTTGATACACACCCAAGGAAATTTCATTTATAGAGAAGCAAAACCATATTTTACATGTTCAAGTTTTAAAATGGTTGAGGCCAGACACCGTGGCTCAAGACTTAATGCCAGCACTTTGGGAAGCTGAGGTGGAGGACTGCTTGAACTCAGGAATCTAAGACCAGCCTGGGCAACATAACGAGGCCCTAGCTGTACAATTTTTTTTTTGTTTTTTGAGATGGAGTTTCACTCTTGTTACCCAGACTGAAGTGCAATGGCACGATCTCAGCTCACCACAACCTCCGCCTCCTGGGTTCAGGCAATTCTCCTGCCTCAGCCTCCCGAGTAGCTGGGACTACAGGCGTGTACCACCATGCCCAGCTAATTTTTGTATTTTTGGTAGAGACGGGGTTTCACCATGTTGACCAGGATGGTCTCGATCTCTTGACCTCGGGATCCACCCGCTTCGGCCTCCCAAAGTGCTGGGATTATAGGTGTGAGCCACCGCGCCCGGCCACATTTTTTTTTTAATTAGCCAGGGATGGTGGTATGTGCCTGTATCCCAGCCATTCAAGAGACTGAAGCAGGAGTATCACTTGAGTCCAGGAGTTCAAGGCTGTAGTGAGTTATGATGGCACCACTGCATTCCAGCCTGGGTGACAGAGCAAGACCCCGACTCCAAAAACAGAAAAAAGAAGTTCCAGCATGTAGTATGCTAAGAATTAAGTACAACTGAAAGAACCATGTCAGAACCATGCAAGCATCTCTCGTGCCATCCTCATTATCAACCATTATCTCCTTACCTCTCTGGGGACCCCACTAGTCTCAGGTTCTCTGAGACAAGGTGTGTTTCCCCATCAGCCAGCAAACACATAGTATTTTTGTGGCAAAGACTGTCTCTTACATTTGCCTTAAGAAAATAATTGACAAATTCTAATTGGCTGGAAAAACACATTTTTGGAGCAAACTTTAGGTCTAAAAAAATAAAAGCTGGGGCCAGGTGTGGAGGTTCATGCTTATAATTTCAGCACTTTGGGAGGCCAAGGTGGGTGGATCACTTGAGATCAGATCGAGACCATCCCGGCCAACACAGTGAAACCCCATCTCTACTAAAAATACAAAAATTAGCCGGGTGTGTTGGTGCAGGCCTGTAACCCCAGCTACTGGGGAGGCTGAGGCAGGAGAATCACTTGAACCCGGGAGGCAGAGAGTGCAGTGAGCTGAGATCATGCCATTGCACTCCAGCCTGGGTGACAGAGCAAGATTCTGTCTAATAAAATAAAAGTTGGACTTTCTTTGCATATCCAGGGCCTCTGATTGCTTCTTTGTGCCCATGCAGGGAAACTGTAGAAGCCAATCACTGGAACAGAATCAATACTTTACTCCTGGCTGAGAGTCCAAATCACCCGTGAAGCTCCTTAGTAACACCAAGGCCTAAGCCCCTCCCCTGGATGCTCACACTCTGATTCAGTGGTGAAATCACAGGTCCAGGGCACGGAGGCCACAGCTCTGCAGCGAGGCATTCGTCATATCAAAAGGGAAGGTGAAGACACATTCTTGGAAAGCAAATAAAGTGTCTTACTATTAAGAGCTTGACTTACGGGGTGAAAAAAATTCCTTGATTTATTTTCAATAGGACACGTTGAAAATGGGGTTGTATCAAATGATTTTATTCCTAGAGGTAAACATTTAGAGGCGTTCCTCCTACACGTGATCTTAGCCAAAAGTCGGAGAAGTGACGTGAAGATGTCCCTCTCCCTGTGTCCATGTGTCCCAGAACTTAAAGTATAATAATAAAAAATAACTTGGAGCAGGAATACCCCCAAAGGGTTTTTGCTGAAATACGGTATCCTGGGGGTAGGGAGGTGTTTGGCAGTGGGGATTAAAGGACTGGAAAGTTTGTGTGAAAACAACTCAACCCTGGCACACGGAGCTGAGGGTGAGTAGGGAAAGGGTCACCCAGTGTCAGGCCACATTGTAAAGAGCACCTTGACCCTCTAGGGCCCCCTTCCCTGTAGTGAGCAGGTAGCATCCCTCCCAGTGCTTCGGGGGAAAAGCATGGGTTTGGGCCTGTGTGGAGGTCAATTCTAAGCCTGCCTCTGTCATGCATTAACTGAGACCATGAGAGAGTGTTCTGGCAGTCCCCTTCATCACAATGTCCTTTCCTTGAAAAAATAATGTTTCAGTTTTTTTAGTCATAATTTTAGAGCAGTTTGGAGTTATCCAAATTTATTTCCCATTTTAAAAGAAACTCACAAATTGGATCTGATAAAAAATGAATGTTTATTTCCAAAGTAACTGGCTCTAAACAACATAACAGAAGGCAATGATTCCATTGTTACCTACTAGAGTTGTAACAGCAGCAAATACTCACTTTCTTCTTGTTCTCTTTGGTGTCCCACAGCTCATAAACAGCAGGTGGAGATAGGGTTTTATTGCTGGGAGGAACGCCAGAGCTCAGCTCATCCAAGGAGCTTCGTGAAACCCACCCAAGTCTGACTTCATGAATCACTCACATTGTTCACTGTAACAGCAGCCCCAAATAACCTCTGTCTTTGAAGCTGTCACCGCTCTCTGGCTTTCATGGGGACTCCATAAGAGAAGGAAGGAAAGTATGAAGCAGGGGCACTGCCTAGAAGAGCCACCACCCAAGTCCTGCCTGCCGTTGCAGCGGACCCAGGGAAATAAGTCTCCCTGGAGCCTGGGAGGGTCCTGAACAATGTAATATTGTGAATTCTGTCTCATCCTGGTCATCATCTTGAATCCTGGCCAAAATAAATAAATAAATCTCCTAAAACTCTTGGAATTTCCAGAGTCATCAGAGTGATTTTTGAATATTCACAAGACGACTGGCTTTGGCGACCCCTAGATCGCCGCAGGATGGGGGCTGGCCACTGGAAAGACCAAGGCAGGATCAGAGTTGGAATTTTCAGCCTTACTCCCCAACCCCCAGGAGAAGAGAGAGGCTGAAGGTTGAGTTGATTGTCAATAGCCAATGATTTAATCAATCATGCTGACATAATGAAGCTTCCATAAAAACCCAGAAGGACTGGGTTTGGAGAGCTGAACGTGCAGAGGCTCCTGGAGGGCAGCACCCCTGCTCCCAGACTCCGCCCTGTGCATCTCTGCCATCTGCCTGTTCTTCTATGTATCCTTTGTAATATCCTTTCCAACAAACCTGTAAATGTGAGTCAAGTGTTTGCCTGACTTCCAGGAGCCACTCTAGCAAATTATTCAAACCCAAGGTGGGGGTCCTGGGAAGCCCAATTTACAGCCAGTCAATCAGAAGCACACGCCACACCAGTGCTGGCTGGCCCAGAAGTGGGTGCAGGTGGGAGCAGTCTCCTGGGATTGACCCCTCACCCTGTGGGATCTCGGGCTACCACTAGGTACATCGCATCAGGATTGAATTGAACCAGAGGACACCCAGCTGCCATGCACTGGAGAATCCACTCCAGAACTGGCTGTTGATGGGGAGAAATCCTCATCCCTTTTGGTGACCTAAAGTAAAGCACTCTGTGTTGTTGAGTGAGAAAATAGGAAAAAAAACAGTTTGTTTTTCTCCTCTCTCCAGAACAGCCAACTAGGGTAGAGTAAACACAGTGGCCTCAGCACTACTGCCTCCCAGGTCTGAGTCCTCAGGGCAAACAGCCCAGCCAGGGCACGAGGGGTAGGAGCCTGGTCTTCCGCAGGGCCAGATGTGCCCAAGGCTTTCACACCCACTTCTAAGAGACCAGGGGAAGGAGAGACAGCCAGAGCTAATTCCATGCAGAGATCACTCCATCTTGTCACTTCCACATAATGTTTATTATTTTTCCTCCACCCATCCATGTCCCAAGTCACTCTTCATAAAAATTCTTGAGAACAATCAAGGGCATGTGTTTGTTTTCGGGAAGGGAAGCCCTGTGTGTCTTCTTCTGCAGCTGGGACTGAGGGGTGGCGAGAGGAAGCCAGGGAAGGGGAGGGCAGAGTGGCCAAGGTGAGCTGGTGCACCACGGCAGCCAAGTGGGAGAGCCTGAGAGCCCCCCAGGAAGAACGAGGGGGTCCTGGGGCTGGTGGAAGATGCCACTATTCATGCCCTAAATGCACAGTGCCTGGGTTGGAAGGAATGCGGTGTTAATGCAGTGAGACTCAAGCAAGCAGCAGACTCAGGGTTCTGCCTAACGTGAGGCCAAAAGACCCTTCCACTAGAGAGTGGCCCCAGCTCCTTGTCCAGGAGATTCTCCGTTCCCCTCCTGGCCCTTTGTTAATGGCAACAAGTCACTTAAAGACATCTGCGAGTTGGAAGCCAGGGCTCGGCTATTTCCATTTTTAAATCACGACCCTTTCTAGATTGCTAATTCCACCCACACCTGGTCCACTTTGGTTTGATGAGTTGGTTTCTCCTCTGGGCAGGAACAAATAAGTTGAATACACCTGTCTCACTCCCAAGTCCCACCACCTTTGAGTTGGAAGGGTGTCTGGTTTGGGAGACAAATGCCAAGAGCCTTGCCCCTGATACTTGTAGGGGACTGAGTCAGATGTCCCCTGAAGCCTCCAGCTCTGCTACCTGTGCACAAAAAGCACAGCAGGCCATGCCGGAGGAGGGAGCTCAGCAGATCTGGGCAAAGATGATGGGGATGAGGTGCCCTAGGACTTCGGACGCTCTTTGAAAAACTCCTCCCCACAAAACCTCACAGCCTCACCAGCAGTTTCTGCTGAGGCCAACCAGCAGGATCACCTGAGCCCTCAGTCCTGGCTTAGCAAGCCCCGCTGCCTTAATCCAGGCTGCTACAGCCAAGTACCCTAGCCAGGGTGGCTCATAAATGCAAATATACTGCTCACAGTTCTGGAGGCTGAGGTCCAAAATCAAGGCACCAGCAGATCCGGCGTCTACACAGCTGTCCGCCTCTTTATGGTCTCCTCTCACGGTGGCAAGAGAGGGAGGAAGTGGCTGGGGGTCCCTTTTATAAGGGCACTAATCCCCACCCATGTGGGCTCCACCCCCACGACCTAATCACCTCCCAGAGGCCCCACCTCCTAATCCCATCATTTGGGGGATTAGGTTTTCAACATAGGAATTTGGAGGGGACACAAACATTCAGTCCATTGCACCCACAGAAAACCCAGAGTAACCTCAAGGCCCCCCATCACCCACGGCTGACTCCAAACAGCTGTGTTTACCCTCCTTTCCTGCCCAGACTTCTGAAACCTTCCTCCAGTGGCCTGGGCTCCCCGCTGGTCAGCCGTGAAACCTCCCATTCCCTCCACCTCTGCTCCAGGAGTTTCTTCTACTTTCTTGTTCTAAATGGGACCTGCTTCCTGCCTGCCTAACCTTTCCAGTGAGGACTTTTCTTTTCTTTTCTTTTTTTTTGAGATGGAGGTTCACTCTTGCTGCCTAGGCTGGAGTGGAGTGGAGTGATCTTCGCTCACTGCAATCTCTGCCCCCCAGTTCAAGCAATTCTCCTGCCTCAGCCTCCCAAGTAGCTGGGATTACAGGCATGTACCACTACACCCGGCTAACTTTTTGTATTTTTAGTAGAGGCAGGGTTTCTCCATGTTGGCCAGGCTGGTCTCGAACTCCTGACCTCAGGTGATCCACCTGCCTCGGCCTCCCAAAGTGCCGGGATTACAGGTGTGAGCCACCACACCCAGCCCCAGGACTTTTCTCTTCCCATTCACCTCATACACCAGTCATATGCCAGGGTGGTAGATGTTTCTCTTTGCTTCCTTCTAGAACTTTCTCCTCCCTAAAAACCCCCAGCACTTGTGCTCCCTGTTATAAGACTTGACACTGCACCTCACAGATAAGAACTGCCTGCTCCTCCCCTCCTGGGGTCATTGTCACTTCACTGGCTGTGCTGATCCCCAGGTGTCACTGCTCCCGGCCTCCTCTCCTAATTTCAGCCTCCCCGGCCTGGGCCATTTGCTTCTAGCGCTGAAAACATGGCCGGCCCAAGCAGGGATGGGCTCCAAATGTAAAAGACACGCTGAAGACCCAGCATGAGGGAAAAACACATAAATATCTCAACAAACTTCACAGTAATTACATGTCAAAATGATAATACATTGGATATACTGGATTCACTAACATGCATTACTGTATTTCAATTAGTTTCTTGTATCTTTTTTTTTCTGAGACAGAGTCTTGCTCTGTTGCCCAGGGTGGAGTGCGGTGGCTCAATCTTGGCTCATTGCAACCTCTGCCTCCCTGGTTCAAGCGATTCTCCTGCCTCAGCCTCCCAAGTAGCTGGGACTACAGGTGCCCACCATCACACCTGGCCAACTTTTGTATTTTTTTCTTTCTTTTTTTTTTTTTTTAGTAGAGAGGGGTTTCACCATGCTGTCTAGGTTGGTCTTGAACTCCTGACCTCCAGTGAGCTGCCGACCTCAGCCTCCCAAAGTGCTGGGATTACAGGTGTGAGTACCACGTCTGGCCAGATTCTTGTGTATTTTCACCTTTTAAGGTGGCTGCTAAGAACTTTAAAATTTCATGTGTGTCTCTCCTTTCATTTCTATTGGATTCTGCTGCCAGTCACTGAAATCTAAATCCCATGTTCAAATGTCCCACTTTATAATCACCATTGCCCATCTTCTCCCTCCCTCCCTCCCTCCCTCCCTTCCTTCCTTCCTTCCTTCCTTCCTTTCTTCCTTCCTTCCTTCCTTCCCTTTTTCCTTCTTTTGAGACAGGGTCTCTCTCACTCCATCACCCAGGCTGGAATACAGGGTGTAATCACAACTCACTGCAGCCTCAGCCACCTGGACTCAAGAGACCCCCCGGCTCAGCCTCCCAAGTAGCTAGGGCTACAGGCACGCGCCACCACACCTGGCTAATTTTTATAATTTTTGTATAGGGAAGGGGGTCTCTCTGTGTTGCCTAGGCTAGTTTGAACTCCTGGCCTCAAGCAATCCTCTCACCTCAGCCTCCCAAAGCACTGGGATTACAGACATGAGCCGCAGCGCCCATCTCATCTTCTTAGCGTGACCCCTCAGGTCTCTGACTCGGGGTGCCCCGGCCGCCTGCAGACCAGGCATCCCACTGCCTTTCCACCCTCTCAGCCTCCTGTCCCTGCTGGCCCTCTTCTCCGACTCTACTCAGGATCCGTGTTATCTGGTCCCCACGCACTCCCACTCCCTGCTCTTGTCTGCCTTCCTCACACTTGCCTAGGGAGATTCCAACCCTGGTTAGGTCTAACTCCACCCACACGGCCCAGCACAGCTGGAAAAAAACCCATGCCCCATGCCAATGGGCTGATTTAAACTCAGAGCCTAAAGACCCAGGGGCGCTGGCTGTCCAGGGGCTCCCACCTTTCTCATCCTGCCCATCAGCTCTCTCTCCTCTCCCAGACAGAGAATGTGGCAAAGCATTCTATTCGACAGAGAAAACAGAAGCACTGCTCAGAGCGCCATGGGCAGGTTCCAGGGCAGAAGCAGACACACTGAAGGGACGCGAGGGTACTCACCTAGGACCTCACATTTCTGGGGTGCGCCGTGTGTACCGGTGTGGAAGAACTCAATGTGGAATAAGTCCTGTAGCCCTTGCAAAAGCATATGAGCCACGGGCTGATGGTTTCCCATTTCTTGTGGGGCGGCGGGGGGTGGGGCGGCGAAGCTAAGGATAAGAGCTTATTCAAGTTTTCCCAGCAAGCACTCAGCAGAGATGTGGTCTGAGCTTGCCCAGCTGCAGAGCCTGTCTTTTTTTTTTTGAGATGGAGTCACACTCCATCACCCAGGCCAGAGTGCAATGGCGCAATCTTTGCTCACTGCAACCTCTGCCTCCTGGGTTCAAGTGATTCTCCTGCCTCAGCCTCCCAAGTAGCTGGGATTACAGGTGCACACTGCCATGCGTGGCTGATTTTTTTGTATTTTAGTAGAGACTGAGTTTCACCATGTTGCCCAGGCTGGGCTCAAACTCCTAAGCTCAGGTAATCCACCGGCCTCGGCCTCCCAAAGTGCTAGGATTATAGACGTGAGCCACTGCGCCCGGCCCCAGAGCCTGCCTTTTAAGCACACATAAAGCCATCCCCACAACAGAGACTTCTGAACTTTAGACTCAGGTATCAGAGCCGAGTGAGACTGTGTATGGGTCTGCGCCAGCGACGTGTCCACACCCTGAATTTCCTTCCCTCTGGGTCACATTTGGGCAACCTTGCACTTGAGCCAGCCTTGTGCTGGTCTGCAGTGGGGAGAAAGGAGAGAGGGAAGAACAGACCAGCTTGAGTGACCAGCTTAAACGACAGAAGTCCTGGGTCCCCGTCTCATGCCTCTTTGTGGCCCTTGCTGCACACTGTACCTGTGGGGCCCCTGAATATATTTGCTGAAAGATGAAGATGAAGAAATGAAAGGATGAGCAAGCAGGGAAGTGGAGGCCAGGAGCTACGAGAGGAGGACGGGGGAGGCCATGAGGAATAACCACCCCAGCCACCCATCACCCCCTCTACTCCAGGGATACCAGAAGCCCCCCTGCCCACTCAGGGCTCTATCCTCACTGCAGGCCTCCTTGAAGTCCGTCTACTCCAGACTGTACCAGGCTAGTGGGACAGGCTGGTGGCATCCCCCTCAGACCCTCCTCACTGCCCCCGTCCCCAGAGTGATGCCATGTAGGAGACAGCAGGACCCAGGTCTGGGGCTTTGGGTGAAGACAGGGAGGGAAGGCTCCAGTCCATGCTGGTCTGCATGGGAAGGAGCCCCTGGTGCCTCTGTACCCACTGCCTCCCTCTTCCCAATACCTCCTAGAAACAGCAGCCCTCATACTGGGACAAGGAAACACATCCCTTGGCTCTCTCAGTAGCAAACTTCAGGGGGTCCCTGGGAGCAGAGTGCTTCTGATCAGGATGATGAAGGGATAGACACACACACGCAGGAGAGCCAGAAGCCCTCAGGACCCAGTATGTCTTATAGTTTCTAATATCTGAGAAACAGGACTAAAGGAACTTGCTCAATTTCCTGGAGTACCTAGGCCTCATGTGAAGCCCCCTAGTAACCAGAATGCTGCTTTCTTCAGCAGAAGGCTGGGATCAGCCCAGAAACACTCTCCAGGCCAGGGGTCCCTGAGAAGGGGCACGGGAGTCTCCCAGGAGGCCCTGGGTGGCAGCCGCTCCCTCCACCTCATTGTCTCTCCCTCCCCCTCATTGTCTCTCCCTCCCCTTCTTCACCACCTCTGCAAGCTGTGCAGAGGATTCCCAAAGACCAGGGAGGGAAGTAAATGCGCATTGAGGGGCTACTGTGTACAAAGCGCTTTACCCAGGTTAGATCACATAATCCTCCCACAATGCCTGTGGGGATAGTAACATCATTCTCACTTTGCAGGCAAGGACACTCAAGATTAAAGGGTCAGGGCCCCTGGAGAAACAGAAGGCCTCCTCAGATTAGGACATGTCCCGGGGTTTCACAAAAGGAATGCCTCAAAGGTATGGCCAGGGTGTGACACCCACAAGGACAGAGCAGCATCCGTGGGCTGCCACCACCCTTGGACCCAAAGCATCAGGGATGGGAGCAGTTCCCAGAACCCGGAAGGGGAAAGCCGAGGCAGACAGGGCAGTTTCCGAGGAGCTGTGGTCTCTGGTCGAGGGACAGGAGCTGCCCGAGGCGACCCCATAGCTCAGAAGCTGGCGGAGTAAGTGCTCCAGCTTCCTTGCCTCTCCTCACCCAGCTCCAGCCAGAGCTCCCCAGTGAGGTCAAGAACAGCACATCGCACGTGGGGATGCAGAAGCCCCCTGCACGGGGCCTGAGTTCACGCATACAAGGACACACAGCTAGTGTGTGTGCTATGGGTTCACAACCATCCCTGACACACCACAACATGTGTCACCAAGCTGTCTTATAGAGGGATGGCCCACTGGGCAAGAGAGACCCAGAGCACACCTGGCCACGGGCTCCCCCGGGACCACAGACCTGTCTGCTCTTCGTGGGCTGTAGCTCTGAACTGGGTTAATAGCCCCATCTCCTGCAACCTGGAGAGGGCAGTGACCCTTCCAGAGGCCCCAGCCAGCCCCTCCCAGGAAATCCATTCCCACCTTTGGGCAGCGGCCCAGCAGCCCTCAGCTGCACCAAGTGAACCGGGGAGATCTGACGGATGAGAAGGTAGATGAGGGGTTCCCCCAGGGGGATCACTTCATTTTAGGGGGGAGAAACACAGAAATGGGGAGGCTGGGGGTGAACGCAGGGAGGGACTGGGCTGCGGGTGTCAGCAGCCACCAGGAGCATGTGTAACTCATTACCCCCAGGTCCTGTTTGCGGCCACGGATGACGCCACAAGTGGAGGAGGCTGAGGCCGCAGAGGCAAGTGGGACTGCAGTATTTTTCTGACATTAACACCTCTCTCTGGCCCTCGGAAAGTGCTGCAGAGGAGCCAGGCCCAGCCAGCCCCCACCCACTCCCAGCTCGGCCTCGTCCTCCACCTCCTGGTGCCAGACTGGGAGAGGCCCCGGCTGCATATTGGGGAAACCAAGGTGGGAAGTGGGAAGGTGCGGGGGGGAGAAGAGGGTGGCCAGACACCGGCGCCTGGGGGTTCTGTTCAGAGGGTGGTGTGAGTGAGCATCCATCAGACGCTGTCAGCGGCAGCCTGGCTCCAAAACCTTCCAGGTCCTATTTGGACTTGGCCCTTCCAAGTAGTTCCGGCCCCACAGGATGACCCTCGGCCACTGCCAGGCTCCACGAGGTGAGGAGGACGGGGCCTCCCATCAACAGCACCCTGAGGAGGACAGTGATGACCAAGACACAAGGGAGGGGGCAGATTCCAGAGGTGGCCCTGACCAGGCCTGCAGGGGGGGGGCCACAAAGGCATCAGAGAGCAAGGGGTGTCTGGGGGGCCTTGAAGGGTGCAGAGACAGAATGACCTGGAGGAGCAAGGTGGCTGCTCAGGGAAGGGACAGAGGAGCCAAGGCACCCGACAGTCCCTTCTCTTCCTATCTCACCTGGCAAGTGAAGAAAGGGAAAGGATAAAAGCAGGGAGGGCAGAGAGGTGAGGAGGGGCAAGAAGGAAAGCGAAAAAGCTGCAGGTCCCAGGCAGAAGTGGAATGTTGCCTTCAGGCACTGCTCCTTTCCTCTGCACTAAGAAGCTCCCTGGGCGTCCAGCCCCACCCAGCCCATACTCCAAGGGTGTCCCCTCACCTCCTCTCTTCCTCCCCGGCCTCTGGTGGTGGCTGCAGGGAGCGCCTTTTATCTCTGGACCAACCACCTGCCCAAGCCCGTGAAAGAGGGACTAGCACCTCCACCTCCAGGAAGTGCCGCCTTGTCCAATGGGTGGGCCACCTGTCACCTGCCATTTCTTGCCCCTGTTTCTCTGGTGGGTAGGAGGAGGGCATGCGTGGGTAAACCAGGTGAAGACTGGTGCCTGAACAGGGGCACTCACACTTGCCAGCTGGGTGAGTGTCTGTTGGGGGTGCCAGCAGCCACATAGTGAACTGAGCTTTTCCAGGTTTAAGGCAGATCTGGCACTTGTATTCCTACGTGCCTCCTTGTCTATTTCCCAACTGGTTCCAAATCCAGAGGTGAGGGGAGTCACTCCTTAGCACCCTCAGCCCAACCCCGTGGAATCCCCATCCTGGGAAGGAGCCTGCATCCC